ACTCAGCAACTACTGACCTACTAGTAAAGACCCTTTAGTTTTCACACAAGTAATTATAGTATCACAAAATTCTCCTATAGTATTTTAAGTTTATGTTATGTTCTAAAGTTTTCATTATAGTAGTGTTGGTAAGTTTTTAGACTTGTTGCAACACCACAGCCATTCCTAGGCACATGTTAATCACTTCTCGGAAAGATATAGTTGATGAGGCTATATCACTTGCAGATCTGATTATATGTCCCCAAGCCTACTTGTGTTGTCCAACAACCGCAATACTTTTGTTTTGTTGTAGTATGACACTGATAATATAATTTAATATAAGTGTGTTCGGTGTATAGTTTGAAAGACACCAAAATATGAATCAAAATTAAAAATGTGTCTTGAACATGCTCTGTCTTCTCAAAACCTGGTCATCTGTACCTATCTACATGTGACCTGAGAATACAAGTTATTTTGAAAGCGTAGATCAGCATTTAAGCTGGTGAGTGCATGAGTATTTTAGTGTCGAATGTTTGTATTAGTTTGATGAAAATGTTTGTAAGTGTTTTGATGCAATTGTTTGTATACTTCCTAGAAAATCCTATATTTTCTACTAAAATAGAAAGTAGTCTTTTACCAAGACCCGATTGTTTTGTATGTTTGTTCTTTTGTAAAAATGAGTGTTTTCCCAGGTTTATAACTATCTTTACTAGAAAATAGTTTGCATTATCTTTTATGTGAGAATATCACTATATGAATGAAATGGGAAAATGAAAGTGTACAGTAGTATTGTATAAAGTAACTACAGATGTACTAACTACCTTAAAAGCAATAAGTTTAATTAAGGTAAAACGTGATGAGGTTATAACCATGCTCAATTGACTAGTATAAAACACGACGATCAAAAGACGTCGAAATGGTATGAAATTTGTCATCTGTAGACCTGCAGGTCCCACTGTAGCTAGCAGCAAGGTGTAGGATGGTCAATCCCATATAGATCTATACACAAACTCACGCTCTCCCTCCAGGAGACTCTGGTTAGAAAACGTGACACAACAGTATATTGCTATGTCATGAAGTAGTGGCTCACATTAATGTTATCTTGCTCTTGTATTAGTGTGTATGTTCCTTTCTGTTCTAGTTATAGTATGTTACTTCTTGTTCTAGTTATAGTATGTTTGAACGGACTCATGTATGAACTGACTCATGTAAGTTTCACCGTTCTAGAAGTAGTAAGTAGTAATCCTCTAAACTATACCTATTACAGTTTACTAGTTAGATTGTTTGACTGTTACAAATGTATAGAAAAGACTCAGTTACTCACCAAGCAACTAAGTTAAGTATAATCCTTAAAATGGGTTTAATATTCACATATCTATTTAATAAGTATAACTATGATTTAACCGATATTCGGACTAGTGATCCTACCCCGAGCCCACAACCAAACAAGGAACAAGAGTCAAGTTATCTAGTAATAGTCCTAAATCTATTAAAGCATACTTATACGTAAAAAGATAGACGAATATGATTTGATATATAAAAGAAGTTTATAAAAGCTTTAAAAGTGTTTTCAACAAGTTTGAGTATGAGAAATCCTTTTGAATGTAGTTTTCACATATAAATGATTAACACAATATCATTGTGTTATACTTGTATTCCCCCCTTAAAACATTTCAAAACATTTCAAAGTATAGTTGTAGGGGTATGAACTCACATGTAGTGAGTGATTCGAATGAAAGATCGATATAGGATGCTAAGTATGCCAAGTGAAGTCTCGAGCACAAACGGATCCTATTAAGCATATAATGACACATATATGTATATAATTAGTGTATATAGAAACTAATCATGTAAGCGAACAACCTTAGGTACTAGGAAACACTTGTAATGAAGTGTTACAATCACATATGATGGTATGAAAGGAGTTCACGACCACACAAGGATGTGTTCACGGCTAAGGAGTGTTCACGGCCAAGAATACTTAAGTGTTTATGGTCCAAGTTTGGTCTTTAAGAAGGGTTTACGACCATGGGTTGATGGGTTCACGGCCACCATGATCTTATGAAGGGTTCACGGCCCAATGAAGGGTTCACGGTCGTGAACTCTTGAAGAATCATGGTTAAAAGGTGTTTGTTTCATGGGGATTCAATAGCTTCTAATGGATAACAAGTGTATGGAAAGGATACTTACTTAATGGAAGTCTTGAAGGTGTTCACGGCCCAAGAACAAGTGTGTGTTCTTGGTGAAAAGATGATGATTTGAAGATCTAAACCAAAAGTGTGGAATTAATGGATGAAATCAATGAGCTTCATGTGAATAAGAAAGACGTCAAGTAAATATGAAATAATCACTTACGATTTTGAAGAGAAAGGAGAGTGTTCTTGATGATACTTGAGAGAGTTTTTGAGAGTTCTAGACTTAAAGATGTGAGAAATGAAGAAATAATGAAGGAACACCATACATATTTAGAGGGGTTCACGGCCGTGAACCCTAGTTTGCGGCCGTGAACTCCTTGTGAAGGTGTTTCTGGCTTGATTGCAACTCAATGATCTCAAGTTAATACTTCTTAACACACAATCCTTGAGTGTACTAGGCTTAGAACTCTCAAACAGACCCTTAACAAAGCTAAAAGTTAACAGAAAGAAGTCTGCCTTTTGATTGAATTAATTGGCTTTACAATATAGAAATTTCGGGTTGTCACATATTGCAGGCCCAATAAGCATGTAAATGGATATTCCAGGCCCAACAAGCATGTAAATGGACCACTAAGGCCCAATAAACATGTAATGTATATTCCAGGCCCAATTAAAAGTGTAAATGGCGTAATTAATCCGTTTGTTGTTACGTTGGTTGTTTAAGTTTAATTGTTTACCAAATAACATAAAAGGCCCACTTTTTTTTGTAATAAGACATTTTTGGTCCTTGAAACCGATAGTTACAATTAAGGCACATTTTTGGTAAAAATAACACTTTAGATCCCTTATGACCAAAAGTTTACATTTTTGGCTTGTTTTAAACGAAATAGCATTTCTAGCCCCTCTTGTTAGAAATAACACTTTTGGCCTTAATTTTATGAAAATTGATATTTCGGCCCAAGTTTAAATAAATTTACATTTTCAGCCCCTTTTAGGCTCAATTTTTGTCTAAAATGATTATTTAAATCATAAAAGCCAAAAATTTTCAATTTTAGCCCATAAAACCGTGAAGGCCCAATTTGAGGCCCATTTTGTGAAAATCTACACTTTTGGCACTTTTATAACCATGAATATCATAAAGACCCAGTTTTATTTAAAAATGACTCTTTTAGTCCTCTTAAAAACCGTGAGATGACAAAAGGTCCTCACTTTTTGTTTATTTTGTTAATTTTTGGCCCTTTACACGATTTTTGTTACTTTCAAACATCCTTAGCATATTTTAATCCTTTCATATTCATACTAAGTTGCATGGAGTGTTTTTGTTTACCAATATCACCATATTTTAGTAGATCTACCGAAATCTATGGAGTTCCAACACATAAACACAACATTTAAGGTCCTCACTTTTCGATTTTTGTTACTTTCAAACATCCGTGAGAATACAAGTTTTAGTTAAACACATAGATCTACACAAAGAAACTTGTATTCTCCCCCAAAACAAAGTAAAAACCGAAAATAGGGGGTATGAACTCACTTTGGTTTCATGAATTCGGTTTTTGAAGAAGATGGGAGGAGTTTTCGGCCTAGCTCACTTCTTTGAAGAGATCTTCAATTTCTAAGAGATTTTATGAGCATGGATCATGAAATAGAGTGTTTAGGAGTGAAGAATTAGCGTAAAATGAAGTTAATCATCTTACTTAGAGAGTAGCTTACCCAAAAGTGATGATCTTTGATGAAGTGTTCTTGGACACACACTCTAGCACACACGAATTTTTGGAAGGAAATGAGAGCTTAGAGAGAATTTTTGTGTGTTGAAGTTTGGATGAAGTGTAGAGAATGGAGAGGGGCCGAGGGTAAGAAGAAAAGAAGAAAAATAGTGGAATGGGTATTACATGGAGGATTAAGGAACTAATCCTAGAAGTATGTGGTGTAATTAGCTTGGAAATCCAATAAATAAAAGTGAGGTGTCATCCTCTAGTTAATCCCATAACATGTTCTTTCCTTTTTTTTATATGTATATGTATAACCGAAAATGGAGATGGGAGGGAAAGAAGTTTGGATATTGGGCTAGTTTTGAGAATACTCGAAATTATAAGGCCCATTATGAAAGTTTTCGGCCCTTTTGGGACTATATGAGTGTTTACGGCCCAAAAATGATAAAGAAATGGGTTTACGGCCCAATAATGTTCAAGAAAGTTGTTTACGGCCAAAAAAGGCCCATGAAAATGTTGTGGGACATTTTTGGCCCAATATAGCCCAAAATGCAATAGCTTAATGAATGTGGGTCCAACTAGAACCCAAATAGGGTTCCTTGACTCAAAATAACCAAACTCAGAGTTTATTGGCCCATTAGGCCCAATAAGAGGATCCTGGTCCATTCTGAGTTTGAATCGGGACATTAGGGTTACAAACCCACATTTGAGTATCTGAGACGTATTGAATTAGGTTTTGAACTTCATGAGTGAGTTTTGATCCGCATAATTGTTTTTGAATGAGTAATATGTATACCATCTAACTTTGAACTACAAGATACATTGAGAGTTGTTCGTACATAGATAGAATTTCCTAGCTAAAAATGCTAGTTGTGACATTTTCTTTGTCATCGGTTCAGGAGAACTTTGACTTTGAGATGGATTTTTAGAGCCTTGAGAATCTTGACTAAATCCCAGGCTAAAGCTTGGACCAGAAAACTTCTCAACTTTCCCTTCAGCTTTGTCCTTTTTCAATGATTTTGTCTCATTTGAATCCTTCCATCCTATAATTTTTTTGATCTTTATTTCATTCATCAACTGCTTTAGTAGTTTCCTCTCCAACTACCTTTTTCTCCTCTTTGTTACTTTCTTTTCCATCTTTAACACTTGAATCCTCTACTATTTTGTTTTCATTCTAGTTTTGATCTCCCACTGCCTTCAAATAGCATTGATGAACATCGGGATCATACGAATACTCTAAATAATCAGGACTAACGATTGGAATACCAGAAATAGTTTCTACACCTACAATTTAAAATCATAAATGAATATAAAAAAACTATTCAAACATTAAAAAAATCTTGTTAAACACAATCATATATGAATAAAAAATATTTATAAACTAGTTACCTCTGTCTTTATTTTTATTTGAATCATCTTCTACCCTATTTTCGGAATCAGTACCAACTTCACCACCTTCACCTTCTACCACACCTTGTCCATCCTTTTTTGCCTTATCATTTAAACATTCACCTTTAGCACAACCTTTAACCAAACTTGGAGCAATTGATTCATCGTCTTTCTTCTTTTCTCCAATAACTTTATTAACAGTATCATATGAAATTCCTTCTTTGTTTTTATAATCATCACCCAAATTTATAGTTCCTAAATTATTAAAATCATAAGTGAATCATCTATATAACATATTCATATATATTTTATGTATAAAAATTACATACATAAATACTTACCGGTCAAAATTTCATTCATATCATCTTCAGCTGCTTTCTGATTTATACCACACCAAACCAAATTCTCATTACCTACAATATTTAAAAACACAAAATTAAAATCATTTATGAATAAACTATATATATATATATATATATATATATATATACATATATATATATAATATATATATATATATATATATATATATATAACAATAATAAATGTTTGCATTGATCCAAATCATTAAGAAATTTTTCAAAAGTTAGGTCACACATGAATTGACTAAAACTTATACCTTCCTGGATAACATTAACATCACCTTCAAAACCATCAACTAGACCAACACTCTTGACAACATTTCCAACAATCGAATTCAAATTTATGACATCTTCTTCATTGAATCCACTTGTATTTCCTTGTTCAACATCTTCATTACCAAAATTCCTTTACCAACAACATCATCATTTTTATCATCATCCTTCTCGTTCAACAAATCATTAATTTTGCTAATATGTTCCTAATGTTCATGATCATTAACATCACCTTCGGGGCCATCAACTATACCTTGAGCATCATTTTTATCATTTTGGTCCTCAAATGCAATATCATTTGACATCAACTTCAGCACCACCACCTTTCCCTTGATCATCATCGTCAACATTTTCATCATCATTTAGAAAATCATTCCTATAATTTTCACCATCATCTTCAAGATCATTTACTTCTATGTCTTCATCTTCATTAACTTCTATGCCTTCCTCTTCATTATTATAATGACCAAAAGCAGGTGTCAAGATTGGTTGTTCACAATGTAGTGAATCATGACCGAAATTTAATTTTTCTGGACTTAAATCTTCATCTAACAACAATAATTTCCAATGTTTCAAATTTTCACTTTCAGAAAACTTTAACACTCCATCATTTATATTTACAAAAAGCTCATTTCTCAAATCCTCAATTTTCAGATACATATATGAAATTTTAGTTCCATACACCTACATAAGAAAAAGACACTTACAATTGAATACTTAATCATAAAAAATAATAAATGAATACACTAATAAAATCATAAATGAATAGAACTATAAAATTACATCCACACCACTAACTTTATTAACATCAAATTCTTCTTCATCCTCATCAGATAAATCCTCATCCCCTTCAGATTCATCCTCATGGCCATCAGATTCTTGACATTCTTCGTCAACATATGCTTCATTAATCTCTCCACAACCAAATTCTCCCTCCTCTTGTAAAATATCCTCAAGTGTGACATCCCCAATTTTACGGCCAGAAAAGACCGATTTGTTTATGCTTATTTAAAAATCAGAGTATCCTTTTTGAAGAATAATATTGCAGAATTTGTTCCCAAAAAACATGATAATAAAATTATCAAAGAATTTCTGAAGAAATGTATTTTGTTTATATTAAAACATTGGGATGTCATCGTCAATACAGAAACATAAGCATAACGAAATATTACAAGCCTTACATTAATTAAACTAGGGGCCTAATACTCCTTGAATCTCTCAATAGAATGTATCTTTCATACCGCTACTTGTGATACAATAAACTGAGTGGGTCAGGTTGGAAACCTAGTGAGTACTAGGGGGATTCAATACCACAATGTTTATAACATATATACATATATATATATCATATATATATATATATATATATATATATATATTATATTATATAGTATATATATAATAGAACTAGCAATATACAATTCACCCTCACATAAGCATTTTATTACCCCACCCCATCGACCCTCACAACGACACGATCCATACTCTCGGATCTAAAATAAACGGATTTACCTAATCCATACTCTCGGATTAGGTATGAACTATTATGTCTAATCCATGCTCTCAGATCAATGACAAATGACTTATGCCCACTCCATACTCTCAAACTAAGGACCGATGACTATGTCTAATCCATGCTCTCGGATTAACGACAAATAACCATGCCCTCTCCGTACTTTCAGACTAAGGACGAATGATTATGTCTAATCCATGCTCTCGGATCAATGACAAATTTTAAGGTTCTTCCCTCCGTGTATATCTCACCCGTACTCATATGCAGATACTACCTGATATTTATCCCAATTTATTTAGGTTTATCATGTATCCTAAATCATCATATATTATCAGATATGCTCTTTAACACCTATTTCACGCAATATCAAATATCACACACATAAACATATAATTAATATTTTAATTAATACTTGCATTAAAATCATGTTCATGAAAGGGACTATGCACTTACTTGTTAAAGTGACGACTCGAATTTTGGGCAGCGCTTCACTTCTAGCAACTATCTTTTTCTTTGACGTAACCTAGCATTATTATCGCTAAGTTTTAGTCTAATATTTATTGCGACTAATTATTAGTCTAGATTCATCATTAACTCAAAGTCTACTTCAAGATCTATCAAGTAAGGAACAACCAGGTAGGATCATATCGAAGGTAGGGTCCGTTTGGTATACGAAGTATACTGTTTGGAAATCCCACTTTAAACACTTCACTAAATCACAGCCTAGACATCATCCCCGTAAGTAGATCAATCAGTATAACGAATTGGAATCACTGATAAATCTTGTTTATAGGTTCATAATAAAAATAATGAAATTAAACATAAGTTATACTTAAAGTATGGTAAGCATAACTCACTTACAAGGGAGTTTAGCGAGAAACCAGGCTCTGTGCGGGCAGAACTTGTGAGCCGAAAGCTCTTTTTCTCTGAGCCTTCTGGCGCTCCAGGACTCGCTACCAGCACCTATTAGGTGCTAGGGAAAATCCTTGATGGTTTGGGGGTGTTTGGGAGAGAAATGGATGAGATTGGTGTGGAGAAATGAGGAAAAACGAGCTCTATTTATAGGCTGGCAGCACTCCTGTATGATGGGCATACGAAGGGTACGCGGGGCGTACACAGAGCTACAAAAAATTAACATAAATAGTTATTAATACAGAACAAAAATGCATATGATTAATAAACTATGATTTTAACTCACACAATCACTAATTATTATAAAAACATACCTTTATCATTACTATTTTTTGACCTTTTCTCTTTAGATTGCGGAGAATCATCTTTAGATTCACATTGGTTTCCTAGATAAACAAACGTATATAATCATTTATGATTATAAGTATAAATAAACATAAAACTAAAACTATAAAATATCATTCCATTTAAAAAATCATAAAATCAATTATGAATACAACATATACCTTTATCATTTCTTTTCTTTGACATTTTCTCTTTACCTTCACGGTAAACAACTTCATATTCATGTTATGAACAACTATGAACATCATGAGTTATGAATAAAAAAATTTAGATGAAAATGCGACAAAAAACATAACATAAACCTCTTTGAACGTCGATTTTTTGAACTGTACCTTTCAAAATACCACCACTTCTACCGCCTTCGAGATTGTTTTCATTTTTGAACTTTTTTCAAACATATTTTGTTTTGAAATCCACTTTCAAACATAGTGCTTGTGCGCTGGAAACATACGAATGGACCAAATCTCACCTGGGAAATGGAGAGTGACATGATGAGTCGCTACCCGCAGTTGTTTGGTGATATGTGATTCCGGGGACGGAATCATCCTAAGGGGGAGAGAATTGTAACACTCGTGTTTCTAGCCTAGGCATTAATATTAAGGTGATAGTCTAGGTTAACCTTTGTAACTCATTTTGAAGAAATGAAAAAGGAATTATGTGAATTCTATGTGTTTTATGTGTTTTATGCTTAATTACTAGGGGTTAATTAATTAAGAATAAAAATAAGCGTCGAAAATAAATATTAGATAAAGCCGATATCTATTAAGAAAGTTGTAGTGGTCGTGACAAGGATTACAGAAATATAAAGAATGCCGAAATCCGAGTTATAACGAAGAAGTTATGACATGTCGAAGTTTCACGACAAAACCGGCCCGGTGCTGAATGTCGTAAAAAGAGAGTTTTGGATAAACTACTTTTTAGCCTTAGTGACCTAAACGAAACTCGTAGTGTTCGTTAAACGAGAGTAAGTATAAAAAGAACGCCCAAATCTGAGTTCGTATGAGGAAGTTATGATTTTTCGAAGTTTCAGCTTAGCAGTAGACAGCTAAAAACTCGAATTTTAGATCGAGTGATTCTTATACGACACGACCTAAACGAGAATCGAAGGTCTCGTCATTAGTAGCACAACGGTAAAAATTCTGACGAAAACGGACGTCGGATGAAGAAGTTATGAATTTTTAACGGATTTCCTATCCCGGTCTGTTAAAAATAATAATATAAAAATTAAATTCAAAATTAGCCGACGAAGTCTAAACGAAAGTTGTAGAGCATAATTTTAGCTACGCGTGCATATAAAGAACGTAAAAAACGGAGCTCGTATGCGAAAGTTATGGATTTTAGAAGTTTTTGCATAAAAATCGAGAAAATTCGCATAGTCACGTTTTTGCCACGTCACCCTCGCTTAGAACGTGCCATGTGTCCCGAAATTGGTGAGTCATGCGAGCCACGTGTCCGAGCTGCTGAGTCATCCGAGCTCCTGACCTGATCCGAAGTGGTCCAGTAGAGATGCGACACGTACCCTCTTAGCACATGGCCGAACCCTCGCAAGTCTGCCACGGATGCCCTACTTCGGACCTAGGCTTCGGTCCGATCACAAGAAGCCAGCAGCCCCTTCGCACATGC